GCGAGCATCGTGGCGCGGCCACGACGGCATACTGTGCAGTCAATTAGTTTAATAGGCCAACAGTTGTCGTACACCGTTGGAGGAAGCAAGGGTGTACGTGCGAGAGGAAGGGTGCCGCCGATTTATCGATTTACCGAATTATATTCGCTTTGATTTCTCGACTTCTTTTCCAAAGAACGCCATCGTCGCGATTGTTAAAGAAATTCGAAAACGTCAGCTTGATTTCTATCACTTCCTAGTCGAGTGGTGGCGTTAGCATCGATCGATGACACGCGGCGCTGACAACGACGATGACGATTCGGATAAGAGGAAGTACCCTGGAAGGAAATGAAATATTACATCGAAACTCGATCCTCGAACGAATCGAAGAAATGATACATTTTTTTTTTCGGAAGGGAAAATTAAAAGAAAAAAAAAAGATGGTAGGATGAAAAGTGTTACACTGCGGAGAGGGATAGGAGACGTCTTATAAGCAGGAAGCGAGATTTTATTTAAAGGGGAGAAACAGGGGAAAGCGAATCTCGTCGGGAGATTCGTTACGCCCAAAGCGTTACGCATAATGTTACTCGACGTATCTACCGTAATAAGTGTAATCCGCGCATCCTCGATCCTCTCGACACTAATAGTCGGCGGATAATACAGATTATAACCCCCCTCCGTTCTTCCCGACGAAACTACCCTACCCTGAAAGCTTCGAAACCCGCCTTCCTCCGAATCGAACGTGTTTGCTCGAATAGCAGCAATCTAGAAACAATTCCGAAGCAATCGTATCGCCACCACGTATAAGGCATCAGCGTGGTCAGCATTCTTCCGTTTCGAATCGATTATTCGAAACGTTTTCCAACGAATTTCCAACGGGCAAAAAAATTGGGCCGAGTGATTAGGCCGGTTTAAGGGATGATGACTCTTTTCTTTTCTTCTTCTGATCTGTCTTTTTTTTAGAATTTTATCCCAAAGTCCAGGAGGGGGGGATATATTTCGAGTAAAAGAGGGGAAAAAAGGGAAAAATGTTTGCGTAGATTAGATAGAGTTGAATGAATAGAGAGGAAACGTTTAAAGGGAGGATCAAAAGTTTGTTTACGATCGTTCGAGTGCTGGCCTCTCTTGAGGCTTCGATTGTTCATAGGGTGGGAAGGGTGTATTTTGCCACGTAGCAAGGGGTTGCGAAAGGAACAGGGTTTGTTGGCACAGTTAACACTTAACCGAGGGTCCCTTTCCCTGTTCTCCTCCTATTACGCACCTCTCCTCTTCGAGGGCGCGACAAGGATATCCTCTAATTATGCAATTATACACGCGGTTAAATGTAATTGGTAACGCCGCGAATTGTTGCGTTTGTTTGTTAAGTTTGTAATTTTTCTTACACTACTCTTATTGGACATTTCATCTCTAAGTGAGAACGCGGAGAGGAGAAAATTTGGGGAAAATAGTTGGGGGTAGGTGTTCACCATTTCAAGGTTTTGCTCGTGGTTCGGCTCGTAAAGGTCGTATATAATAGGCAGCGGCTACAATGGAATATAACTATCGGTGGTGAATTATGTGGGGCACGTGTCTCGGCATAACTATAAAGAGATCGGGCCAGCCTTTTGTTCGAACGATTCATTTTCGACCGTGTCTCGAAACGTGTCGGGACGAGACGTGGACGTAAATGTCTCGATAATAGCTTTATTATGCGCGTATATTTGGATATTTTCAGGGAAATCTGGTACGCATAAATGTGTCAGGGGAATATTAGGTTAGCTCTGGTCTATGATGATTGTTCCATTTACTTTCCTATCGTATATATATTAGCATCGTTTGAATAATTTTCATTCTTGATCTTCGTTCAATAAAACGTTAATATTGGTATTAGGAATAAATTTTTATTTCGCAATTTTATTTAATAAAATATTTTTAAAAATCAGACAAGAGTCATGCGTGTTACTACGATTTATTTTAAAAGTAGTTGTATCAAGTTGTATAATTATGTTTTGCAAAGCGTTTGATTTCGTATTTGTAATTACGCGCCAAGAACGAATATAGACAAGAAGAGTAAATAGTGGAAGAAGGATAGAGATAGGGTAAAAATTTGGGAATCAGCGTCATCTACAGAATACCGCTGAAACACAAGTATAGACAAAGAGAGTGGATTGTTAGAAAAGGACAGAGATAGGATAAAAATATGGGAATCAGCGCCATCTCTAGAGTGCCGCAAATGAAACTCAAAAAGAAAGGATAGCAAATAAATAGAAAAAGATAGAGATAGAAGAAGAATTGACTCTCGATGCCATCTCGTGAGTGACAGAGATACTTCCTCGAAAGCAAGATAATGCAGAGTAAGAATTGAACGATAGCGCCATCTCTTGAGAATTAAATAAGAGATACTTCCTAGAAATATTTAAGAGATGGCGCTGATCTTCAAAGTCCACTTTGCGTTCACGTTTTAAAAACGTTTTCAAGAGATGGCCTTAATAGTCAATTCTCACTCTATTCCCTGTCCATGCTTGTTTCATTTGCGGCACTCTGAAGATGGCACTGATTTCCTAATTTTTACTTTATCTCTGTCCTTTTTCATCATATCACTCTCCTTGTCTATAACTGTTTCGCAAAATTTACGCGCTCGAGAGAGGTAATTTTTAATCCATGAATATTTTAACTTATTTATGAGTCTGTTCGTAGAGAAAATATGAAATTGGAGATCTATGAATACAATCCAATACAAACAAAATATAAATATCAAAAAAATTATTTTTAAAATTTCTTTTTAACTTTAACAAACATTTGCGATTGAACACAATTCTTCCATTCAATCGTAAAAGATAAACCAAATATATCCACGGTTGATAAAGGAAAAACAATGACAATTTTACATATGACAATTGCGAATTTGTTACGAAATAATTTTATAATTAACAAATAAATCGCGATGAAGTTCAAAAACTTTCCAAACATATAAAAAAAAACATGCATCGAACGATTCTGTTCATTCTGTGTTCATTTATCTGCGAAATTTATTCAGTCGATAATTGTGAAAAAGATTCTGACGATAACTCAAAGGATAAAAAGGATATTAACCGTAAATTAGTAACTGTCTGCTATATCTCCAAGATGGACTTATCCATCAAGGATGAATACCTACCTACGTTCGATCACTCATAAATTTGCACATACAAAACAAATCGAAGATTCGTTTCATCGATATTATATCATAAATACGATATTTCCACAACGTGGGAGATCCTTTTCCCATCTTCTCACTGAAAAAAAAAAAAAAACAAAGCGATTCCCCTCCTCTCTCACTATCTTACTCGCATTCGATTAACAAGAACACGACCATGGGATTCCCAGATCGGCCACGATAATCCAATTGCGAATTATCCACGGTTCAATTGAGGGTAGCTTACCAGCGCGTGCACTCTCGTTCGGTCGAGCACGTTACAATAACGAACTCGAATTCTCATATTGTCGTCGTTCAACGCTTCATTCACGTCTAAATACCCACTCTGCCATGAGAGAGAGAGAGAGAGAGAGAGATATCCCTCGTTGGATCAAGGACCCCTCTCGAGACGCGTGAAAAATCGTTTAGAAGCACACAGCCAGTGGCCTCCTCGACTCTCGCGGAACACACGGGTGGGTTTTCGAGTGGGTTCGAAAAAAAGGCTGGCTACCGTGTAGAGGGAAAAAGAGAGGGAGACGAGGCCCCCCCCCCTCTCCCTTCCCTATTCAGGCGAAATCTTTCTCTCGTGAGTACGGTCGTGAGTATTGTGGCTGTATGTGTGTGTGTGTGTGTGTGTGTGTGTGTGTGTGTGTGTGTGTGTGTGTCTGACTCAATCGAAAGAAAGGGTTGGAAGGATCGGCTGAGCCTACGTTAATCCACGGCTTACACGGGCTCGAGTGTAAATATTGATTCCAATCTGGTGTCGACGACAATGGAGGCTGGAAGAGGCACTGTTCCGGACCGTCCAGAACGGTCCGAGCGCGAGCCGCTGTCAAAACAGTCATTACCACCTTGCGACGAACGATCCTCTTCCGGCTTATCTCTGTCCGGATCTGTGTCCATCGATGGAGAGAGAGAGAGATAAGGGGTTTGAGTTGGTTTCTCTCTCTCGAGAGAGAGTAATTATGATTTCAACTTACTTGTGTACTTTTAATGATAATATTTAGATCGATAAATTTGCACGATTCGATTACTTTATAATAATGGCGAAAAAAAATTTTGTTTCGATTTTTTTTGTTTGTTTTCATAGTTATTTATTTAAAAGTTGTAATAATAACTTCTGCTATAATCTATGTTACGAAAAGTGCGCAATTCTTCCAATGGTTTCTTTCTTTTTTTTTTNTTTTTTTTTTTTTTTTTTTTTGTACACGATAAAAAATCTAGTTTACACTTCGTACAAAAGTGGAGGATAATATCGAACGTGATATATCATCTTTTAAAAAAACTCTTGAAACTCGAGCAAGATTTCAATATCCACGTACAAAAAAGAGTTTAAGTATTGCATTTACATTTTTTTTTCTTTTTTGTTTCTTTCTAAAATTAAATTATCCCTACGAAAACTCAATTCCCTCATTTTTTTTTTTTTTTTTTTTTTTTTTATATCGATAAGTTATAATAAAATTTCTTCGTATCAAAACTTAAATCGATAATAATTCCTCCCCCCCCCCTCCCTACTCGTTTATCACCAATGATAAAAAATTTACAAAGATACAAAGATATACAATTTTCACAAAATACAATTTCTTCGTATCAAAAAACTTATTAAACGGTTAATTACCCTTCCTTACTCGCACGATTCACATCACACCGATGTGATAAAAATTTACAAATTCGTTATCATTACATTTCAAAAAATACAAATACAATTTTTGTACGAATAAAAATGCAACTATAATGCCAGCATTATGTGTATCCTCACGGTACCAGATAACGGTGAAGAATACCGCTCGAGAAAGGAAATAGACAGACGGAAAGAGAGAGAGAGAGACAGAGAGAGAGAGAGAGAAGAGAGTTAAAAAAAATCCAGTCATCTACCCTTGCTAATCCTATCAACCTCCATACCATTCCCATTAACCTGCCTCGTCACACTCTCCGTACTTACAGGCGCGCCGGTGAAACCTAATCTCGCCCTGGGCGGAAGTCCGTGAAATTCCGGAAGGTTCTCCATCTCGTACATCTGCATATGATGAGCGAACGCGTCCGCGTGAAGCCTGGTCGCCATTATTCCGAATCCTTCGACGAGCGCCAAGAAGATGCCGCCGACGGTGGCGCTGCCTATCATGGACGGGATCCCGGTTCTGGCGGCCAAAACGCCACCGGTGAGGGCGCCACTCAGTATGGAGTTCCATGGGTCCTCCTTCGAGCGGAAATGTATCAGGGTGCACTCGATCGCCGAGAATAAGCAGCCCCAAATGGCGAAATTGCCGGATATTTGTGGGACCCGGTTTTTCACTGTCATTATACCGCCGTAGAATCTTCGTTGGAAACCCGATGGCGCGTTCCGAAATCCTATGATACTCTACGATGGTATGGAACAAGAGATGGATTTCGAAATCTATTTGCCATTTTATTTTAATATATTTATTTTAATATAATGATAATATATAAGGGGGGAAAGGTAAGAGTTTTCTTTTACATTCGAGAAATAGAACTCTACGGAAAATTGTAACGTTAGATCTTTGTTTGAAATTGTAAATAAAAGAAATTTTGAGCGAGAAGGTAGATTCGTAAAAGGGACTTACTTGAAAGAGTGTGCCACAAATGGCACCCATGGTGAAGGCACCACCGCAATCGTCCATTATTCTCCAGGGGCACGGTTCGCGATTGTATTCCATATTTTCAATCACGTGTCCTTCTCCACGTATCGTATATAAACATAATCTATCAAAACTATTGTTAGTTATATTTCTACACAAATTTATCGCTCATGATTTGATACAATATAGTTATGGTCTTCATAAGTCCTCTTGTAATTGTCGTACTTGTAAAAACTTGTATATCGATGCAAAAATATTTTACTCCTTAATTACCGTGAAATTATCAACACTTTGAACCTATTAACGGATCATTCTCCGTTACATTTCCTCCATTCCTATCGAGAGATAGGATTACGATTCGTGCATATATTCACCTTTTATGATTGAATTAAAACATCTCTTTCAAATATACATTCCTCTTAAACGTTTAAACATATTATTTTCAATATTATAAAATTAATCTTTTCAGGATCAAAATTTTTTTTATAAAAAAGAGTGAGAAGGAAAATCCAAAACGTAATCGAATATTTAGAATGGGGGAAAACGGCGACCAACAAAAGTCATCCAACCCATCTACAACGTCGAAAACATGTTGGATATATTTTCGCGTAACACTTGTTCGATATATAGACGTTGGCCGAAGGGGTAAGTCGACAAGATTCGGGACGAGGCGCAGCGGGGAATAAATAGTACGTGAGCATCCTAAGTGAATAATAAACATCTCGGTGGGGTTAGATACTTTGGGGTCCCGCCGTTTAAGGTGGCCATATTGGTCCCCTAGCCTCCGGCCTCGCTTCTTATTTATCCGAGTGGCGTGAGCCGCGGCCGACCCCTCCTCGTGCAAGTGATTATTCGGCTATTATACGATGATTACCCAATGGTACGTGGGTGTAACACGAGAAATAAAGTGTGCAGTTTCATGTCGCCGACCCGGGATCCGGTGACAGGCCGAATATAAAACCGTTGTCGAGTGTTACCGCGTATTTAACGCCACGTCGAAACACATGTTCGTACATCTGTACCACCTCGATATTCTCCTTATCAATTCCCCTTTTACAAATAATTCTATCTTACCTCGTCGACTACGCTCTATGTTTTTCGCAGTAATTTTGCAATACGAACTATTTATTTTTCGTAGGGATCTTCGTAATCGATTGATTTATCGAATATACGAAATTGAAGAATTATCGAGAGATTTGTTAAGATTTAAATTTTTAGAAGAGTTACTCTTTTAAAAAAAAAAAAAGAAGAAGAAAAAGAAAAAAAGGAAGATTTGGTAATATGAATACGAATCTATTTATTTTCATAGGGATCTTCGTAATCGATCGAATAAACGAAATTGAAGAATTATCGAGAGATTTGTTAAGATTTAAATTTTTAGAAGAATTACTCCTTAAAAAAAAAAAAAAAAGAAAAAGGAAAAAAGGAAGATTTGGATTTTGCAATATGAATATGAACTTATTTATTTTCGTAAGGATGTAGGGATTTTCGTAATCGATCGATTTACGAATATACGAAATTGAAGAATTATCGAGAGATTTGTTAANAAAAAAAAAAAAAAAAGAAAAAGGAAAAAAGGAAGATTTGGATTTTGCAATATAAATATGAACTTATTTATTTTCGTAAGGATATAAGGATCTTCGTAATCGATCGATTTACGAAATTGAAGAATATATCGAGAAATTTGTTAAGATTTAAATTTTTGGAAAAGTTACTTCTTAAAAAAAAAAAGAAGAAGAAAGGAAAAAAGGAAGATTTGGATTTTGAAATATGAATACGAACCTATTTATTTTCGTAAGGATGTAGGGATTTTCGTAATCGATCGATTTACGAATATACGAAATTGAAGAATTATCGAGAGATTTGTTAAGATTTAAATTTTTGGAAGAGTTATTCCTTAAAAAAGAAAAGAAGAAGAAAAAGGAAAAAAGGAAAATTTGGATTTTGCAATATGAATACGAATCTATTTATTTTCGTAGGGATCTTCGTAATCGATCGAATATACAAAATTGAAGAATTATCGAGAGATTTGTTAAGATTTAAATTTTTAGAAGAGTTACTCTTTAAAAAAAAAAAAAGAAGAAAAGAAAAAAGGAAGATTTGAATTTTGCAATATGAATACGAATTAAAATTATTTATTTTCGTAAGGATGTAAGAATCTTCGTAATCGATCGATTTACGAAATTGAAGAAAATATCGAGAGATTTGTTAAGATTTAAATTTTTGGAATTTTACTCCTTAAAAAAAGAAGAAAAAGGAAAAAAGATTTGGAATTTCTTGATGTTTAATTGGTTTTCAAAAAAAAAAAAAAAAAAAAAAAAAAGAAAAAGAGAAATTGAAAATTTTTCTCACAATTTTACGTACACGAAATGAAAAATGTCTGAAGGAGAGAGGAGGGAGGCGTTATACGTGTGTGCACACCAGGCTTTCCGCTACTCTTTTTCAAATTGAATCTCACGAGCCGACGTGGTTTATGGCATGCAAATTGGGTTCGACCACCTCTGCCACCCTTTCCGGCAAATCCTAATCCAATCCGCTTCTACGTAAAGTCTGCCTGCCCTGCACTTTTGTACGAAACACCAACCTGAAGCGCATAAGCATCTTACGACCAACCTTCATATGACAACTGTGTTTCCACCAATTTCTAAACTTGTTAAATTCTTCATTTTTACAGCTGCTCTTTCCTCATTTCTTCAATTATAGAAATATATATATTTTTATTATTTAATTATTTTAAAATATTAAACGCCTTTCACACATATTCGACGCAAAGAAGACAACTTGCCAATATTCAAAATTATTTTTATATCTACAAATCTCGTAATTAAAACCTGGTTAGACACGATTCTTCATAATTCTTCTTTCCAGCCTAATTTCACGGATTAAATTCGGGAAACGGGATAAATAATACACATTCCAATTCATTCAAATATTATTTTCCAAAATCGTTCACTATCCTCGACGAGTGATCTACCTCACTCAACGCTATAAATCCACCACAAATTTTAATCTCTGATTCTCTCTCTCTCTCTATATATATATATATATACATTTATCCACGTAATATTTCAATCTCGTATTCCATTACAAAGAATATTACGCTTGGTTTGGTTCAACCCTGCGATACGTCCGTTTACATGTACATATTTAACGTTGCACGTCGCACAAGGACCCCTTTCACTTTCCATTATGCAGAACGATTAACAAAACAGAAGGAGAGGGGGATTCCCTTTTGTTGTCAACTTCGGCCACGGAGACGCGGCCACCGCCGCGCGCCACGCGACAGCTGCTCGATAATATCGATGTCCTTCGATCTCGATATCGGCATCTCCACCGCAAATTATTATTCCTTATTGTCATATGTCGGTTTCCTTTGTCCGTTTCAACTCCTTATTGTATATACATATCGTTAATCTTCCTCCCCCCTTTGCAGTTATATTACATTACGTTTTACAATTTTAAATTAACTTGTAATTGTATTACAAGTTACTTTACTCCACGGTTTATTTTTTCACAGACTCCTAAAAAAAATCGAGCCTTCCGCAATTAAATATTTTACATTAATAAAATTATTTAAAATTTATTTAAAATTTAAAATTATTTAAAATTATTATCTAAAATTTATTTTAGATGTATTCCTCGAGTATATTTTTAAGGCATATACAGGGGAAGACATTGCCTTTCAACTTTCCATTTTATATATATATATATAATGCACGGAGAATAAATTGATGGTAAAAAAATACGTTTTGAATCGAGTTAACGAGCGGATGGAAAATCGAATAGGAGATAATAATTAAGCAATGCAGGTTCGATAAGGTGGAAGCGTGATTTATAGCGTGCGCGGGACAACGGAGCCACCCCATTTCCAACTTAACCAACCGCTTAAGCACCTCGCGCGAGCGACAAAAGGGTTTCATCCCCGAAAGTACCGGACGTAGTACTGATAGATTACACAAATGCTCTTTGCGGGAACAACATGCGGGGAGGGTTGCCACCATCAACGGGATCCCATCGACGGCGGTTACCCTGAAATATTCATTCGAAACTTCGCTCGCGTCGACGACATTTGGACGTTAACCATGACGGTGGACCGGCAGGCTTTGATCTCGTATTCCTGATTATCGATCACGGATGGAAGGAGCCTTGATTTTTTTTTTTTCCCCTCCCTCCCGCCGATCGTTGATCAACCAGTCTAATGGCCGTTCAAAATGAATATGAAACGATCCGCCGTTTAATAAACGTGCACGATCAAAATCTTTTTTTCAAACAGAGATCGAGTATTAATCGAGGGAAAGTAATTGTAATGCCGATTGTAAATTCAAATTAGAGGAAATGGTGCAAATGAATTTTGTGAGAGAATTGAGAGTAGGCAAGATTTTTGATCGTTTTTGTAAAGTGTAAATTATTTAACACATTGATGACAGGTATGTTCTGATAAGTATATAATGATTGATTTTTCAAGTAGTTTTTTTGAAATTAATAAACGATCGAAAAGTGTAATATTTTATTGAAATAAGTATATTTGAGGATATTTCTAGTAATGTGTTTTAATGTGATATGCTTGAAAACAATTTCCTCGATGAAGAGGTAGCAAGCAAAATTTAAAACAAATATGTCGTGTAAAGAAATCAACTTTACTATCAGTAAAATATTATTTTCACTTTTGATACAACACGACAACACATTTGCATAAATTTCTGCACTATATTCAATTGATCTTCCATTTTTAACTGCCTCTTCCTCATTATTTCTATATTCCTAAATAAAAGATTTTCAAAAAATATTGATAACGATTTCTTATTATTTAAGCATTCATAACATTTTGTTTATAGCATTGCTTGTTTTATTTAACAATAATTAACATTTTTTATAAGATATCGCATGAAGAATGTAATGTGTTACCAATGTGTTAATAAAGATAATTTTACAACAATCCTTGATGAACCAATTTGATACACAAATATTTCTTTTATCGATTAATGACAGAAATATATTTCCACAAAGAAGATATATATTTTCTTATTTATTAGCCAAAAATTTTGAACCAATTCAATGCATAAATATTCTTTTATCGA